AATAAGAGTAAGGGCTGACACAAAAAACCGTAACCGATGAATCGAACCGGAAAACCGGAAAACCTTTATTTTTTTCGGTTAACCGAATCGAAAATTTTAAAACTCACGATACGGTTAGCCGATCGGAGGAAAAAATGGTTAGCGGTACGGTTATGATTTAGAAATTATCCTCCACGGTAAACCAATAACCGTGAATTCATATGCAGACACACGGACAATTAATTCTGATGAAGGTATTCACGTCCATAGAATATACGCACTTTACTACCAGTTACATAGCTCTACGTACTGGAATGAACATAATTTTAGACAAATGCTAAGCTACTGACATGTATTCATTTTGTTTAGTACTACGTAATACACGTATAAATAGTATAACCGACCGATTAACCGTATAATAATTAAGAGTGTTGTTCGAGTCAGGCAGTCTGACCGGACAGCCCCGTGCGGACTTCCCCGTTTGGGGGTCTTTCAAGTGGAATTTTTTTATGAAAGTTTTTGAGCATGTTCCTCATCAAGTCTAGTTTATCCATACCAAATTTCAGCTCAAAATTCGATCGAGAAGACAGTCAAATAAATTCTTGAAACATACTGCTCTTTATATATGCGCAAAATGACCAATATGTTTCAAGAATTTATTTGACTGCCTTCCGGATCGAATTTTGAGCTGAAATTTGGTATGGATAAACAAGACTTGATGAAGAACATGATCAAAAAATTTCATAAAACAATTCCACCTGGAAGACCCCAAACCGGGGAAGTCCGCACGGGGCTGTCTGGTCAGGCCGCCTGACTCGAACAACACTCTAATAAAAAATTAATATAGGAACATACAATATGGAAAAGCAATACTAGTATTGCACATGGTATAGGAACATACAATATGGAAAAGTAACAGTAGGCTTAAGGTCAAATAGGTCCTCGAACTAACTTAAAAAGTGCAAATCACCCTTGTATAGGAGGTTCTATACGGCCTCCGCCATTTGGAGCGGTTCCCGGTGGAATTTTTTGATGAAGTTTTTTGAGCATCTTCTTCATTAAGTCTAGTTTACTCATACCAACTTTCATCTAAAAATTCAACCGGGAAGGCAGTCAAATGAATTTTTGAAGATAACCTCGCAGTTAAACAACACAGTACATTTCAGAAAATCATTTGACTGTCTTCCCGTTTGAACTTTTATCTGAAATTTGGTATGAGTATACTAGACTTATGGAGAAGATGCTAAAATGTTTTTATCAAAAACTTCCACCGGTAACCACCCAAATGGCGATGGCCGGACAAAGCCTCCTATATAAGGGGTGATTTGCACTTTTTAAGTTAATTTGAGAACCTATTTGACCATTTAGCCTACGAATTATTACGGACTAACTAAAGTTTCGAAGGTTGGGATTTTTTTTTGGAAAAGTTGCTTCTACAAAAGTTTTTAATTTAATTTTGAACTACTTATGTATTTTTAAACAAACCAGATGTTTAATACGGAGTAATTTGATGTGTTTATTCTTTTCTTTTTCATGGTTTTTTGGTTAACCGCGATGTTGGTTATTGTATTGTTAATGCAAATTTTTGTTAATCGGGTATCGGTTAACCAATATTTCGGTTAACCAAAAGCCGGTTAACCGACCATGCCCACCTCTAGTACTGTTTTAAATAGCCGTAGCGGCAACGCTAGTAGTCATCTCCCGGGAGTGGCCTGTAGCGGTCGCAACGACGTGAAATATTTTCAAATGCACAAAACATATATTTAATGAGTGTTAAAGTTAATAGAAAGAAATTATGAATATTTGGGTGTCAAATTTAGATATTTATTAATATTTGCTCCCATAATGTATGTGAAAACATGTACATTTAATTTAGAATTTCACTCAATGCACCACCATTAATGTATTTCACACCATGCAGACAACATTTACACATCAACCAGTTCGTGATGCACTGTCGGAGGTGCCAATAGCGTCTTGTAACCAGGGCCGGTCCTGACCATTTCTGGGCCTATGGGCGGTATGCTATTCTGGGCCTATGACCGTATACTTATTTGAAATAAGAATTATAATAAAAATGTCCAATGAAGTTCATAAAATAAAGTAAAAAATCACTTTATTATTATTATTATTATTATTATTATTTAAGTTACATATTTGGACAAAAGTAACAACACAAGTATCGGATAAAAAGAAAAAAAACATCAGTAAAAAACATTTCTCGTAGAACAATATGAAACAAATAATCAATAATAGCTTCATAGGCGACCTTCTTTCTATTAATACATGACAAACAATAAAATTGCCACATATAACAACACTAAACTTTTTTTTTGAAAGGAAATATGAAAAAATGTCGCTACGTATTGAATTCATAAGTTGAGAATGATTTATTGACCGTTGATGGGAGTCTAAAGTTTGGAGTCTCAAAAGAATGAAGGGTTTCAAAGAGACAAAATGTATGGCCGCCAAGAACACTCTCGCAAGAAGACTGCCAATTTGACGTCCTCTAAACTACGATTAGGAACTCAGATATAGTTTATTGAAATTTGGAAACAAATAAATAATTGGGATGAGATTTGAGAGAGATGGGCTCTAAAATAATTATATAAATTTGTTATGTTATAATTAAATGAATAAAAAGCCTTAAAGGCTAAAGAGATGTAAAGACTACAACAGATCCTACTTAAAATTAATGTATATATTCTTTTTTTGATGGAGCAACAATTGTATTGCTTTTAAAAACTACAATTGATCCTACTTAATATTAATGTACATATTCTTTTTTTAAACTTGGCTCTGTTTAAAATTTTTTATTTACATTTTAAATTTGCAAATTGCCAATAAAATTAAACTTTAGGCCTAATTAACTGACCTTAAGAATTAAAAAAAGAAGCCTACTAACACTATACATAAAGAAAAAAATTGGGCCTATTTTTTCTTCTATTTTTTGCCGGGCCTAGGGCGGTCGCCCCTCTTGCCCTCCCCCAGAACCGGCCCTGCTTGTAGCGGGCGGCGTAGCGGACTGTTGAGCATTTTCTACGATTTGAAAATCACACCTTAATAGCGGCCCGTAACGGTAGTGGTAGCCACCACGACCACTATATAGCGACCTTGATAGCCGTAGCGGCCGGCTATTTAAAACACTGCTCACCCCTAAATAAGAGAGATGAAGACCGAGATCTATAATGGAATAGTGACTCCCCAACTTCACTGGAAAGTGACTTCTTCGACTTAACTGGAAAAGTGACTTCTCTATCTTAAGAGGTGACTTCTCACCGCGTATGTATTTTCCTTCTTCCAGTTTTCCAATCAATCTCCAAAAACGTGTCTTTTTCGTGTTTGTGAAAGAGGAAATACACGATGCTATAGTGCGTCGAACATATTAATGCTATAGTGCGTCCAACATATTAATGCTTTCAACATGTGTTCAATTGGAAAAAGAAAACAGAAACTGGAGATTGGAAAACAATAAAGAAAAATAGGAAACTGGAGAAATAAGTAAATGAGTCAGCTTTCCGAATTGCATTTCCATTGTTGTCTTTGCTTTCCAATTTCCGGCCTGGGGATTTGAACAAAATTGAAAACCTCTACACACTGCAGCTTGATGTAGGTTTCGATCATATGATTTCATTAGACATGTAGGTTTCCATCTTCTATCGTATCCCAAGATACCAGATGTACACAAAAATTGGGTGTACATTCTTTTATATATATCCTCATTGTTTGGGAACATAAGCAACTCGTTTAGAAAATGTCAACTGTAATCTATGTACATAAGTGAGTACATAAAATTTGTACCAAGTACACCAAGAACAAGTTCATAGTGAAGGGAAAGACGGAAAAGGAAACACGTTTATAGAGTGAATGCTCTTTGTACACGACAGTTTGTACACGCCAGTCAAAATTGTCTGTACATAAGCTATTTAACCGACTTTTTATCAAGAAAATCGATTTTCACACAGACAAGAAATAATTGTCTGTATCACAGACAACTTAAATTGTTTGTGACACAAATAATTTGACTAACGTGTACAAAAGAAGTGCTTCATTGTTTTTTTATTTGTCTGTGACACAGAAAATTTAAATTGTTTGTGATACACACAATGTTTTGTTTGTTTGTGTGAAAATCAATTTTCTTCATAAAATGCTGGTTAAATTTTCTGTGCATAGACAATTTGACCAATTTGATCGGCGTGTATAATGGCATGTATAATAATGGGTAGACAAAGAGATACTTACAGAGTCGAATAAAGACTATTCCTTCCCTAACCTTTTTTTTACGCAAAAATGATCTTTGTACCCACTCTTATACCCACTTTTATACCCACCTATGTTTGTGAAGTGTTTTTTTTGTCTATAAACCCCCAGTTCACAGACGATATTTTGCACAGACAAAATATTGCGTAAAAAAACATTCACAAATATGGTGGGTATAAAGTGGCCAGATGGGTATAGGCCTGGACTCGGGCCGGGCGGCCCGACCCGGAACCGGCCCGGCCCGCCCACTGTAGCAACCGGCCCGGCCCGGTGGCCCGGTCCACCGGCGGTTCGGGTCGAACCGGCCCGGTGGTTCCCGGTTCCGGGCCCGGGCCTTCCATATGGTGAACCGGCCCGGCCGGTTCGGGCCCGGTCCGGGCCGGAAATAATTTTTTTTTTTAATTTTTTTTGAAATTTTTTTATGTTTTGGGTTAGATTAGGTATTTTGATCCATTTGAGGTGGTTTGGGGTGATTTGGGGTTGAGAAAGAGGGGTGGGGGATTAAATAAAGAAGCCAAAAAAAAAATTAAATAGGGCGGGTGGCCCGGCCCGGAACCGGCCCAGTCTGGCCCGGAACCGGCCACCCCCGGTTCGGGCTCGGGCCTCCATATTCTGAACCGAGGCCCGGCCGGGCCCAGGCCCGAGGCCCGAACCGGCCCGGTTCAGTCCACCCCTAGATGGGTATAAGAGTGGATAACCATTTGTTATTTTTTACGAGTATTAAATAAAAGTACTGGTTTCTTTGCACTCCGTCATTTACACGGCAACAGAACGTAGGATACGGGTCGCTGGGTCAGCGCGGGCTTCCCCGGGTGAACCGCACTATATCAGGACAGAAATATCTCTGTTCGTTCTTCCCTCTTCCGGCAAAGAAAAGCAAGCAATAAAGATGTTGGAGAAGATCGGGCTGCCTCCAAAACCATCACTGAGGGGCAATAACTGGGTCGTTGATGCCTCGCATTGCCAAGGCTGTACCTCTCAGTTCACCTTCATCAATCGCAAGGTTGGGTTTTTGATACAATCAACTCTCGTTTTGTGAGTGACGAATCTAGTACTCCCTAGCTCAAACCCGTTTTCTTTCTGTAATTATATAGTGGAGAATTTTGGTTTAGGGTGTGCAATTTGCGAATTTGCTCGATTTCGATTGCAACTTCTGTGATTTTTGCTAGTATTGCTTTTACCACTTTGTTCTTCTTTTTAATTACTTGATTCCTTGCAATATCTTTTTGGACATTGCAATCACCTACCTGTTTAGTTCTTTATGGATAAAACCATTCAATATGGGGTTATATGATGATTACTTGTTTCGCATTTTCTGCTGTGATTAATTGAATTCAGTGGCGTTGGTGCCTAATATCTCTATTTTGATTATAATAAGAGCTGGATCATTGCAGCCACTGATTGGTTGTTGGTTATTTGGTTACTTTTCATTGACTGCCTCAGTATTTTCCTTTCTGGTGAAGTATTGATTTTCTTAAAAAACTTGAGATCTGTTTATTTTTTAATAGGCTACTCAATAAGAAATTCACCTGTTCCTGTTGTACTCAGAATTAATTGTAGATGCTATTTGGCCTTGTATGATACACTTGCTGAATGAGCATTTTCTTGATGTTTTTCCTTTGCTCATCTAAACTAGAATTTGATTGATTCCCTTTGTAAAGTTCTAGTTTGCATGACTAAGTTTCAACGCTCTGAATTAGATACAATTTTTGTTTGAAAGATTTTCCAGAATTATCATTAACATTTTTACCTCTGGAAGTGCAGAGGAAAATGAATTATTATCAACAATTTTATGGGTTTTACATAGCTTTAGATTTCAAGTCTTTATTTAATAGAAATAAAAAAATGTAAATTGTGTTCAAACAAATACCAAAAATCATTGATCTTGAAGTGACTAATGTTTATTACTCCCCACATTTTCTTTGCTTTCAAATCCACTCTAGTTTTTCCTTCCTATTTCCTTTTCCCAGCATTTTCCTAGCTCCAAACTGACTCTTAGTGTTCTCAACTCAATTAAGCCCGGATTTGAACCTAGTTTTATTGTTGCATTTCAAATTGTCTGGAATGCTAGTGAAAGTTCTCCTTGCAAGCATGGAAAAAAGAAAGAGGATGAGACATTCTTTTTTTTAATTGCTGTTGATAGTATTTTTTTGGGCTCCTCAGCATCATTGTCGAAGGTGCGGTGGCTTGTTTTGCAATAGCTGTACTAATCAAAGAATGCCATTGCGTGGTCAAGGCGATTCACCTGTTCGAATTTGTGACCCCTGCAAGAAGTTAGAGGAAGCAGCACGGTTTGAAATGAGGCATGGAAACAAGAGAAAAGGTATTGTTAATACGGGACCCATTGTGTCATATCAAGGGGTTGAGGTTCAGGATTACTACTACATTCTCTTTTATTTTCATTTTATCTCCTTTTTGCTGTGTATGGATGACTATAAAACGTTAGGGTTAAAAATGAAAGAGATTTAATGAATAAAATTTGGAACTGCAATGAGATGAAAAGGAAGGCTAATTTCCTCTCTTGTTTTCCTCCCATTATGAAAGAGAAAATGGTTTAGGCTATGGCTATGTTTGAAACATGGATAATTGTAGGAGAAGGAAAATGTACCAAAAGAAAATAAGTTGTTTATTTTATGCTTGGGTATAAGTTTAAAGATGCAAAGGTAAATCAAATTTGATTAGAGCATTTCAATTTTTTAATATGTGTAGTCTTTATGTAATAGGAAAAGATGAATAAGATGTGTTTGAACAAATCTTAAGTTTAAACTAATCTTTTATTTTCCTCAAGCTTTTCCTTCCAAATTCCTGTCTTTTTTTATTCCATATTTTGGTTTCTATCATTTTCTCGGATCCAAGCATACCCTTAATAACAGGAGACTAGTTCTCATAACTTTCCCTTACCCCCATCTTCATTAAGCAAGAAAAACTAGATATTTGTTTTGAGTGATATTGTATCATTGTCCATAAGAGTGCGGCATTTGCTTACGGACAATATACTCCGTAGTAATTATGATTTTGGAAGGAAAAAATGAATACCCACCCTGGTCTCTGTTTCAAAAGTATCTCATCTGACCACAATGTTATCTTTCTTAATTTAAACACTACTAACTTTTCATTTTTCACAATTCACTGTCACTACTGATAACTTTTTTAAAATGATGTGACTTCATGAGCTCAACTTGAATCAGTTGAATGAAAATGAAGAAAGTATATCACATTATTTGTTTTCATTAAAATCTGTGCTAAAAGTTATTGTCCCTTGTATTTTGGACAGAGGGAGTTTATGTTAAGGGTTTCATGTTTGGACTGGGCTTATGGCATTTATATAATCATCAATGTACAAATAGTAAAAGATTATCTTGGGTATACACAACCATTGATTTTATATCTATGTTTTTGAAGTTCAAGTTGGCTTTTATTGTAGGGATGTTCTTTTTCCGGCTAAACTTTTTTTTTACCTCCAAAATGGAAAACAAAAATATGGGTACCGTCATACCGAACATATTTCCTTGTTAGTGTATTACTACCTCCGTACCCTATTTAAGTTCACACTTTGACTTCACACAGATTAAGAAAATAAATTTGACTTTAGTGTAGAGTGCACTGTTTTGCACTGTTTGGCACTGTTTTGCACTGTTTCGGTGTAGATTTGTTTGCTAAAATGGAAGTGTGAACTTAAATAAGGGACATCCCGTTAAGGAAAGTGAGAAATTTAATAGGGACCAGAGGGAGTAGTTTTTTACTAAAATTGAAAAAGAAACAGAAAAATAAGCATTACCAAATCACACAATGTGTTCTAGCTTTCTCCACTTGCAAGAAGAATTCTTCCCTAAACAATGAGTTTTCTTGTAACCATATTTGCAGGCAGTTCAAGACTCACACCTAAGAATGAGGATGAAGTTTTAAAATCAATCTTATCAGGTGACATACTTTCTCATGACCAGCAGCAGTCCTTTGTTGCTTCATCTTCTTCTCATAGTCACGAGTTACCCACTAAGGATGTGTTGATGAATGAGACGGGATTCATCACTACTCCAGAAGAATTACGCCAACAAGCCATGGATGAGAAGAAGAAATACAGAACATTAAAAGCAGAAGGAAAATCCGAAGAAGCTCTTAGAGCATTTAAAAGGGGAAAAGATCTTGAAAGACAGGCTGTAACTCTGGAGGGGGAAATTAGGAAAAACCGCAAAAAGGTTTCTTTATCTTCTGGAAACATCCCTGATGAATCCAGTAGATCAGTTAGTAAGAAAAAGGACGATCTTGCATCCGAACTCAAAGAAATGGGATGGTCTGATATGGATCTTTATGAATCTGATAAAAAATCAGCAACTATGAGCCTGGAAGGTGAACTCTCTGTTCTTCTTAGAGAAGTATCTCAAAAACCAAATGCTGGGAAAAAAAACCAAACATATGATAATTCCCAAGTTATTTCTCACAAGAAAAGAGCTCTAGAATTTAAACGTGAAGGTAAACTTGGCGAGGCCAAAGAAGAACTTAAAAAAGCTAAACTACTCGAAAAGAAAATCGAGGAACAAGAATTCCTGATTGATTTTGAGGAATCTGACGATGATGAAATCTCTTCCTTGATCCGTAGTTTGGATTCTGCTGATACGCAGGAAGAAGTGGTAGTTGACTCTACCTTTGACATTGATGATATTCTTTCGGTTGCTGATAATCTTGGTGGTGATCTCGAAGTGACTGAAGATGACATGGATGACCCAGAAATGAAAGCTGCATTAAAATCATTGGGTTGGACTGAAGAAGAAAATCCCGCCACTGTTGATAATATAGAAACAAAACAGACTGAAGTCCAATCGTTGAAAAGGGAAGCTCTCAAGCAGAAAAGGGAAGGTAATACTTCTGATGCAATGGAACTGTTAAAGAAGGCAAAGATGATTGAAAATGAACTCAACAGCTTCGCTATGCTGGGTGAAACCAGCCTAAAAACTAAAGGCAGTGGACCTAAAACCAAAATGATGATCCAGAAAGAACTTCTTAGTTTGAAGAGGAATGCTCTTGCTATGCGAAGGGAGGGTAGGTTGGATGAAGCAGATGAAGAACTGAAGAAGTGTAAGGTTCTAGAGAACCAGCTCGAAGAATTAGATAACAATAATAATAGTAACAATGCTCAGACTAGGAATAATGATTTCATTGTAGAAAATGATGATGATGGTGGTGGCGGCGGTGGCGATGAGGTCACGGATCTGGACTTGCAGGATCCGAACTATCTTTCGGCTTTAAAGGCTTTGGGTTGGGAGGAGGATGAAGAAGAAAACAGTGGAAGTGTTATTCCTAGTACATCTCAGGTTAAAAACAATAGCGGGAAATCTAAAAGAAGTAAAGGTGAAGTCCAGAAAGAACTTCTGAGTTTAAAAAGGAAGGCTCTTTCCTTGAGGCGTCAAGGAGAATCTGAGCAGGCAGAGGAACTTCTGGAAACCGCTAAAAACTTAGAGACGGAGTTGGTTGAAATCGAATCTTCATCTCTTAACAGAGTAGAAATACCTGAGTCTTGCACACAAAAAGAGGCAATTATTATAGATGCTCACCCCAATGTTCCCTTAGACTCAAGAAGTGATATCAACAATGATTCGCAGAGAAATAAAAAGGATATTCCAGAGAATAAACCAAATGAGATGGTCCATGCAGAGAAGACGTCCAGCTCTCTCCAGCAAGAGATTCTTGCTCATAAGAAGAAAGCAGTCGCCTTTAAGAGAGAAGGGAGGTTGACAGAAGCCAAGGAGGAACTTAGGCAGGCAAAAGCATTAGAGAAGCATTTAGAGGAGGAAACTCCTGATTTTTCTGTTCCTGAGGCTTCCTCATCCTCCGATCCTACCCCTGGGGGATCCAAGCCTTTATCAGGACGTGATAGGTATAAATTACAGCAAGAGTCTCTCAACCACAAAAGGAATGCATTGAAGCTAAGAAGGGAAGGCCGGGCAGAAGAGGCTGATGCTGAGTTTAAATTAGCAAAGGCTATCGAGTCTCAACTGGAGGAATCTGGACTCATGTCGTCGGGTCACGGATCTGAACCTATAGACAGTGGGGTCCATGTAGAGGACTTTCTTGACCCTCAGCTTTTGTCTGCATTGGCGGCCATTGGAATCTCCAATGCTCCAGAAGTTCCAGTAGCTGGCAAGACGATAGACGATGGTGAACCCCAAGGAGATAACAACTCCGGTGAAGACGAGAAGATGGAGTTGGAAGAGAAGGTTAAGGCAGAAAAACTGAAGGCGTTAAACTTGAAACGTTCTGGAAAGCATGCAGAAGCCCTGGATGCCCTTCGCCGAGCCAAACTCTTCGAAAGGAAGTTGATTTCTTCCAATTCACAACAGTAATGTTATAACTGAAAGTGTTTAAGTATATAATATTCTTCCTCCAAGTGTGGTGTGAATTTAAGTATAGCAATTTAACATTTTGTGATAGACAAGAACCGTTTCTCTTGAATTCGAACCTCAATTGAATTGTACTATGGGTGGAACCTGGGAATAGGATAGACTCAAATCATGTGGGATGTGGCTTCCAATAAAATTAAAGATAAGCCTAACTAATTTACCGAACAATCCAAGCATACACATATTGAAAGCTTACTTCAATTCACATAATATGCCAACCTATTCATATATATTCCCTCCGTCCCGCTATTAACTTTCTACTTTCCTTTTTGGACCGTCCCAAAATCATATTCTCATTTCCCTAAATGGAAAGTTATCCTACATCAAAATAGTGTCATACAGCAGTTCGTATACCATACGACCGGCCCACTATGAGCATAGTACACCCGCCACCAATACGACGTAGTTCTAGCAGTTGGCCTCATTATTTTTTATTTCTCTCTTTTTTTAAAATGGTAATAACTTTTTTATTTTTGATCCGATTTTTATAAAATTTATATCAACATTTTTTATTTTTCATGATCTTTCAAATGAGACCAATATTGCCTATGTAATTTTAACATATTAACATTTGCGTGTACAAATATGTAACTTTACGTGTTAAAATATGTAACTCATGTTCAGTCAGGCCAAATGCAACTCGTGTGTAAAAATATGTAACTCTACGTGTATAAATATGTAACTTTACGTGTAAATATATGTAACTCGCGTTCAGGCAGGTAAAATGCAACTCGTGTGTATATATATGTAACTTGCTTATAAAAAGATGTAACTCGCTCATAAAAAGATGTAACTCAATTATCAAATGTAACTGAGGCCACTGATCCACTGCCAAACAGATTCGATCTTCTATTCAAAAACTTATCATCTCCCTGCAAGGCTGCAATTCATATGCAACTTATGTGTATATATATGTAACTTGCATGTAGAAATATGTAACTTTACGTGTAAAAATATGTAACTTCACGTATAAAAATATGTAACTCACATGTATAAATACATAATACAATAAATTTTTTATATACAATTTTAAGATAAATTGTGATTTACACAATTATTTTTCTATATTAAATTTAGTTCGATTTTCTTTATAATCCAATACTCATTAATATAATAGTTCGATAATTTCTTAAAATTTCATAAGCAATATTGGTCTCATTTGAAAGATCATGAAAAATAAAAAATATTGATATAAATTTTATAAAAATCGGAGCAAAAATAAAAAAGTTATTATCATTTTTTAACAACAAAAGCAAAAAAGAAAAAGAAAAAAAGAAACCAGGCACTCCGTCGTTTTGAATGAAGCGTGCGTCGTTTTGCAACCGGGCGCACCATCCTCATGGTGCGCCGGTTGCACGGTATAAATTGCGGTCAAACAGTGCCAAACAGTGTCTAAACAGTGTCAAATAGTGTCTAAACAGTAAAGTCAAATTAACTTCCTAAATATGTGTGTAGGTCAAAGTAGGAACTTAATAAAGGGACGGAGGGAGTATATATTTATTTTTATTCTTATTTTTATCCTTTATTTTATTTAATTTTGTTATTCTTATTTTTATCCTATACAAGTATTTACCGACTTACTTTTGTCTCGAAGGATTGTTTTACTCTATATCAATGATGATTTTTTTTATCTTTCCGAGATATTTATATACTTGTTCGTTTTTTGAACATCACTAAACTTTGAGGAATACCGAATCCATTTTCAGAAGTACATGAAAGTATACAATATAAAACACAAAAAAAAATCTGAAATATCTAGATATTGGCTTTTCTCCACGCAATCACGTACTGAGTCCAAACATTGCGGGTAATTTGCCCTGCAAAATAAAGGATCCTTTTTAAACAGAAAAAAATTATTAAACAAATAGAAAATGAGGCATACCTTGTGAACAGGCCTAAGAGGAGTAAGAGCTAATCATGGGCAGTTTTTATGTGCGTCTATGTTTGCTTTAAGGCCAGTGTGGTTGGAGGATTTTGGAGGAAATGGAAGGAGATGAGTGATATTTAAATTTAAAATAAGTTTTGCGTTTAGAGAAATTGAAATAAAGTAAAGACAAAATAGTACTACGTACATAAGAATTCATAATTTAACTTATTTCATACTTCCTCTGTTCCTAAATAAATGCAACGGTCAACATTTCACACTTGTTGAGACACAACTTTGACCATTAATATATATGATTTTGTATTAGTAAAAAAATTAAAAAAATTAGATTATGAAAATTTACAATGAGACAAGTTTAACAATATTTTTTTTTATAAAAAATATATTATTACATTAATAAATAAAACGTAATCAAAGTAGAACATGTGAATAGTGTAAAAGTCAAAGTGTTGCATTTATTTAAGAACGGAGGTAGTAGTTATTTGTAATCTAAAACTAATAAACTAAAAAATCAATCCTCTCATTCAATCTCTTCCGAAATATATCCTCCAGAAATCCCCCAACTATACTGGCCCATAGGGAGTGTTTGCAATAGTTAAAAAAAATACTTCTCAGCTTTTCGCTTAAAAAAGTTAAAATTAGTGTTTTCAAATGACAATTTCTACTTAAAAAACATTTCTCAGCTTTTGTGTGAAAATGCTTTTTACTTTTGGGTTTTTTACAAAAATATTACTAAAATAAAACTCATTTACACAAATATGACTATTAGTTACTACAATGTAGTGTTATAGTAACTTAAGTTTAAAAATTGAACATAAGTTACTATGATTATATTGCTACTCTAGTCAGTAATCACGTTTTTGTAAAGAGTCTTCATTTTAGTTATAAATTAATAAATACGTAATTATTTCTTTACCACTCTGTACTACTTTTTATATTACACAAAAAACACTTATTTTACCAAACACTACCAACTTTTACTTTTTCAAATCACTTTTTTCTGAAACACTATTAACTTTTACTACTAATCACTTTTTCCAAAATCACTTCAAAAAGCTAAATGCTTTTTTAAGCAAAAGCATTTGCAAACACTCCCTTACTCCCTTTGAGAATATATGCTTTGGGTATTAGCTGCATTAACATTTCTTTTTTTTATTTCAACTTTTTAGTACCGAGGGGAATTTGCCTATATGAAACTAACAGTATCAAATTGGAGGAAGAAAAAGTATTAATAAAACATAAACCAAACATGCAAAACACCATTAGTTTAAGAATAAAAACTATTTATTCATATGGTAGGAATCACCATTTCTTTTGATCATATTGTCAATAACTTTCTCTAGTCACTAGTAGAAAAAGGGCTTATAGTGACACTAATTTAGTGTCACTGAAAGTTTCTGTGACACTAAAAAAGCGTCGGGAAAAGTGTCGGCTAGTGACACTAAATATAGTGTCACTGATTGTAAAACATAATAGTGTCAGTAAATTGTGACACATTAATGTTGTACACAATTATGACACATTGGTATCATTAAGCTTTGCGACACGTTGGTATCATAGAAAACTACGACACATTAGTGTTAAATGTAATAATAATATTATAATAATCGTTATTTTTTTATTTGATACTAATTCGGTTAAAGATTATAGAAATAATAATAAATAATCAAAATAAAAGGCTAGATCAACATTTGTATTTTCTTCTCAAATTATTTTAGTGTCAATAACATTAAAGTACAATACAATATGCTATAAATCTACACTTTAACCATACAAAGTTTTTACAATATGCTATAAATCTTCAACTCTTACAAGAGTACTCAAAACTAATGAAGTATCAACAAAGTATGCCAAAAGGGGAGTTGAAGTGTGCAAAGAGGCGCTGATTTGCACCGTCATAGGGTTGAGGAAGAAGTTCAGATTTTGTTCAATGGTAAATAATGCTTCAAATTAAAGCTCTTGCTCCATGTCAGGCCACCCCCTATGACCCTCAAGGTCTTCAAGCATTTCTTTATACGACACACAGGCAAATTAAATCAAGCACTTTGAAATCTGGGAAGCTGCTGAAATTTATAGAGCACAATGTCATTGATAGAAATAAAATTAAATCAAACACATTGAAATTTGGGAAGCTGCTGAAATTTATAGAGCACAATGTCATTGATAGAAATTTATAGTCACGTCGCATATAGTTGAATATTATCCTCTGAAAGAAAAACTACGGTACTGGAACACAAGAAAATGTAGTTGAATAATTTTCCATAAGAATAGAGATGTGATGACAAAAGAGCAGTTTTTAAACAAGTAGCTGAAAGCAGCTTTCAAAGAGCAGTGAAGCCATTAAGCAAACAGAAAAACAATCAAAAGGAGATAACTTTGCTATAATTACTTACGTACATGTTTTTTACTTCTAGTAAATATTCCATATAATACCACCAAAACTGTCAGAATACAGACATGAGAAGAAAAAACAGAACATTAGAAATATAGAGAACTCTGGTTTCTACATGATCAATTTAGCTTTTCCTCCCTCTGTACAAACTTGCATTTTCTCAACAAGGTCAGCTTTATTCCCAACTAAAACATTTATACTCTTGCTCAATCTGGATTAAGAGACACTCAGACACATAATAGTGTATTATATTACCCTAAAAGTATTAAGCAGATTAAGAGAGCCAATTGCATATCAAACCTCAGCTCACCGTCTTGTGCTCCTTTTGTTCCTTTTTCTTTACCTGACATACGTACCATGTTGAACTTTGAAAGTGGGCAAGCAATCTAATTCTTTTACTGGGCCACTAGTTTACAAATACAATGAGCTTGAATAGGCAATTTGTTATATAAGAGTATCAAAATAGAAGTAAATCCCAATCATGTAGACCTATTGGGCCACTTTTGTAATAAATCAGAAACTTAAGTGCATTGGGACTGCATTTATATAGCCCCTAAGTGCATACGTCTTATGCCAGTGAGGCTTTCGCCTCTCTCCAGCACATATGTACACCTCAAAACCTTGGAAATAGTTGACAACGCAGAAGATTAAAATTGTTGCAAGCAGATTGGTTACATTGGGAAGATTTTGCCGGTAGAAAGCCTCTCTGAGGTAACATTAAGTCAAACTCACCCTTTGTCCCTAGCTTTTACTTTTTATCATACCAATATATAAATATAACTACAAATTTATCAACTAAGAAAGAGAAGCAACAAAATTCACACAAGCCTCAAGCAAAAACTCAATAGCAATTGAATAATGAGACATGTAGTGAAAGAAGCAAGACCAATGAAGGTGAAAGCCAAGCCTTTTGTTGTAG